AATCCCAGCTGTAGGTGGAGGCAGGAGTTAGCCTCTGCTACCTAGTGAGTTCGAGGCCAGCCTGGGCTACTTGAGAACCTGTCAAAAAAAGAAAAAAGAAACGAAAAGAAAGAAGTCCCCGTCTCTTCTCACTCCTCTTGTCATCTGATGGGACTAGAGTTTTACATACAAAAACTGGAAATAAAAGCTTTGCAACTCAACCACTTCTTTGTAAAAATAAAACCAAGAGTCTGTATTTCCACAAAGGGTCCAGAAAATGGGCTGTAAGCATGAGAACATGACTGAGTGTCAGAAATTAATTCTTACAATAAGTTACTGGTATCCTAATATACAAAGGCAGGCTATCATTGCAAAAGTAATGTAATTTGTGGGCTGGAAAGAAGGCTAGGAGGCTAAGAGCGCTGGCTGCTCTTGTAGAAGACCAGAGTTCAGCTACGAGCCCCCACATGTTGGCTGACAACTAGCTATAACTCCTGTTCCAGAGACTCAGATGCCCTCATCTTATTGCTGTGGCCACTGCATATGTGTCACACATACAAACACTCAGAAAAAACACCCATACACATAAAATACAACATCAAACCTTTTTTTAAAAAAGTAATACAATTTAGTACAATTTTTAAAAAGATGGTTTATATTTTTATGAAAGAATTATGTAGGTAAGAAGTACAGTTTCTAACTCTTCCTTTAAAAATGAAATTGGCCATCCTTCCAACTCAACTGATCATGTCCTAGAAGGTGAGTTCATCAGTAAGCTAGGCTCAACACAAATCCTTCCCAAGTGGTCTGTTAATGATGTCCTTAGCGGTATGTGTGTTTCTTAGTGCACATGACTATTGCATCAAGGGCTACGATTCAGACACTTTGATTCATGCTATTGTCTTATAGTGAACCATCTTTTTTTTTTTTTTTTTTTTTTTTTTTTTAGCACTGGGCAGTGGTGGCACACTCCTTTAACCCCAGCACTTAGGAGGTAGAGGCAGGCGAATCTCTGAAGTGAGTTCCAGGACAGCCAGGGCTACACAAAGAAAGCTTGTCTCAAAAACAAAACAAGAGTCAAGCTGTGAGGGTTATGGCTATCTTGCCTCATAGCTGTGCATGTAGCTGTCACTGGGGCAGTGGTGCCAAACAGCCCAGCTCTGGTGCCTCTTGCCACATAGATTATTCATTTGTCTGGACTGGGCACAATTGTAAAAATAGTTTGATTTGTAGGTTTCATACATGACAATGTCTGATCTGGGACATCATAGAATCCAATACTCTTCCTTAGCTGAGATCTCTATTTTTCTAATGCTAAGACATTTTCCGACTTCAGAATGTTCCTCCCAGGATCATTCTGAAATTTCTGACTGCCTTATGTATTTATACCTTTAAATGATGCCTTTAAATGACTTACATGTGTACGTGCTGGTTTGGGGGTATGGCTCAGTGATAAGAGTACTTGCCTAACGTGTTTAAGATCCTAGGATTCATCTCCACACCATATACCATAACACAAGAAACTTGGACTTGCAATTTATTCATCAAACGAAACTGTCAGTGTCTTGGGTCAAATTTACCTAAAAGGAATCCACCCCAGTCTCAATTACCTTTGGTAATTAAAGGCAGGAATGCTAGGGACTGGAATTGTAGAATGCTCCCAAGGTCTAACTTTCAATCAGAATGCAAGGGGAGCTTCCCAGACGTTAACAGGTAATTAAATGAACAGTTAGTTTCCTTCTGCCTCATTTCTACTATCTCCTGCCCTAAGGACTAGTGAAAGGGCGGTACCATGAAACCACCCAGATTTCAGCACTGGTGAGCAGGCTGGCTAGCAGAAAGGAGCCCAGATAAAGCACACACTTGATACTCCCTCCAAGGATGGGAACAATAATGTCGATGCCATGCTCCATTTGGCTTAACACAAAGACATGTTTGGTTTTTGTTTTGTTTGAAGTAGGTTCTCATTACATAGACCAGGCTAGTCTTGAAATCATAGCAAGTTGCCTGCCTCTGCCTCTCTGCCTCCACCCCTGGCCAAAGACCTGTTTGTTATCATCATACATGTAGCACAACTTGATATTTTAATAAAGGTGATATTAGCCAGACATGGTGATGCATACTTTTAATCCCAACACTTGAGAGGTAGTGGCAGGTAGATCTCTTGAGTTCAAGGCCAGCCTGGTCTACAGAGTGAGCTTCCAGGGCAGCCTGAGGTCCACAGAGAGAATCTGTCTCAAAAAAAAAAAAAAAATGAATAATGATCTTCAAAGCTGAAACAGAGATATTTAATTTCATGTTAAATACATTCAAACACACACATGCATGTGTGTATGAGTATTTACAATAAGGAACCGTTAAACATGTTCTGTATTTTTAAAACTACATTACTTAACTACTCTCATTGTCTGTCACATCAATTAACAGGAGGCAATGTTAAGTGTGCTGAATGGTGCTATGGCCCATGATGGGGATGCCTGTATTGTTTGCTATGCATCAGAGATACAAACTTTCTGCCAACTGACCCAGCTGGAATAGCATCCAGGTTAGTTAGATTGCTCACGTTTCTATTTATGGACTTACTTTATTTGAAGGTGCAGTGGCTTCTACTGAATCAGTGGTCCCTGCAGGACTGAAGCAAGACCTGCTTGCAAAAACAAAACAAAACAAAACCAGCTCCTATCTCTGTTCACACCTGCAATGCAATGTTCTGAAGACATTCTCTGGCTGCTTAATTGTGTGGTTACATCATATGCTTAATCGTTTGCCCTTTGCATACCCAAGTGTTGTTTATTTATTTGTAACTAAATAAATGTTGTCCTCTTTAAAGGTGACCAGTGAGTTTCTATATAAAACCTCTCTATATAAAATCTCTCTCTCTCTCTCTCTCTCTCTCTCTCTGTGTGTGTGTGTGTGTGTGTGTGTGTAACTTTGAAGAATGCTGGGATTACAGGCAGGCATCAATTGTTTGGTACAGAACTACTCTTGGTATATACAGAACTACTGGAGAACTACTCTCAGTGTATTTAAGAATGAAACATTTCACTGGACAGTAGTGGTGGATGCCTCCCAGCACTTGGGAACTCTGAGTTCAAGGCCAGCCTGGTCTACAGAGCTAGATCCAGGACAGCTAAGACTGACACAGAGAAAACCTGTCTGGAAAAGCAGGAAAAAAAAAAAAAGATGAAGCATTTCAATTTTAGATATCTGTCATCATTCATTCATTTGTTTGTTTGATTGATTGATTGTCTGAGACAGTCTCATTATGTAGCCTTGAACTCAAAATCCCCAAGCCTCTGCCTCATGAGCCTGTGCCACTGTATCTGGCCTACTATATTAACTTTCATACTGCACTCTGGTCAGGTGCTGTCTACAGAGCACTTAGAGACGCTATTTTTAGTCTTTCAGCTAACTCTTCGTTTCCAATAAACAAGTGAGGTCTGGGCTTCTGTGGGCATGGGCAGGCTGATAGAAAAATCCCTTGCGAGCCCAGGTAAATTCCTAATACAGCCACCAAGTCTGGCAGAGACACAAAAGCTGAGAGCAATATCCCGAAGCCTGTGCAGATGGAAACTATAATCAATAATATACAACATTTGAAGAATTTTAAAAGGATATTGAGGGCTGTAGAGACTTTTTGGCTGTTAAGAGCCCTAACTGCTCTTCCCGAGGACCTGGGTGTAGTTCCCAGAACCCAGATAGACAGTGGCTCACAGCAGTCTGTAACTCCAGTTCTAGAGGATGGGGCAGCCTCTTCTGGCCTCTGTGGGCACTAGGCATTTGAGTGATACACAGACATTCGTGCAGGCAAAACACCTATATATGTGTAAAAATAAGTCTTTACCAAAACAAAAATTCTGAACTGCCAATAGGATTAACTGCTTGTCAAATGAAAGACATGAACCACAAGGGCGGGATTTTCAGTTCCCTTGGTTCCCAGGTATCCTGAGTGGCAGGCAACAGTACCACTGAGTCATCTCTCCAACCTTCTCTCCCCACCTCTTTTTAGAGACGAGGCCTCGTGTAGCTCTGATTGGTCTCTGACTTGCGTCCGTGGCCATGCTAACTAAATGCATGTTAGCTATTCACACTGGTTACCCACAGCCTCTGCTCTTAAAATCCCTGCTGCAGCCAGGCATTGGTGGCCCACACCTTTAATCCCAGCACCAGGGAGGCAGAGGCAGGCAGATCTCTGTGAGTTCAAGGCCAGTCTGGTCTACAGAGCTAGTTCTAGGACAGCCAGAGTTGTTACACGGAGAAACCCTGTATTGAAGAAAAAGGAAATCCCTGCTGCAAAGTGGGGTCCTGCTGCTTTCCCTCCAGAAAGCAGTGGCCCGACTCTGAGAACTGACTGGCAGGTTTGTTAAACAGTGCTAACACCCTCTGAGTAAGGGTTGCCTGCACAGTCTGGGCTCTCCCGGCCACTCTCTGGTGCCATATCAGCGGTTGTGTGGCGGATGACACCTTGGGCTCACAAGGACAGGAACTGGATAGGATGAGGTGGGGGCGCAGCTGTACTCTCCCGGGGTGGGTGCCTCTGTGGCACCCGTACCTCCAAGTGCACCCAGCCACCCACTCGACAGAGGGATGCAGATAGCACAACAGGAAAAAAGTCAAAAGCCTTTTTTTTTTTTTTTTTTTTTTTTTGAATGTCGGGGTGAGGGTTGTACATGCCTTTAATCCTAGCACTAGGGAGGCAGAGGCGGGCAGATCTCTGGGTTCAAGGCCAGCCTGGTCTACAGAGGGAGTTCCAGGACACCCAGGGCTGCAGAGAGAAATCCTGTCTCAAAACAACAATAACAACAAAACCCCAGCAGTACATTGTGGGGGTATGACTTGGTGGACAGACTGCTTACTTAGCACACAGGTCAGCATCTTATGAACTGGGTATGGTGGTGAATGCCTATAATTCTAGCAAGAGGGTCAGAAATTCAAAGTCATCCTAAAGGTCCAGCTTGGGATCCCTGTCTGATACAAAAAAAAAAAAAAAAAAAACCAACAAAAACCAAAAAAACACAAGCTGCAAATAAGTCTTTATTGTTAGTTCATACACACAAGTGCCTCTTTCCTCAGGGGTAATGGGATTGGGAAGGTGGTGGCCTAAAAGGCTTCCTGTCTTATATCCCTAAATACTTAGGCCATGGGTTGACCTGAGCAGGACAGGGGTGGTTGCTCAAGTAAGGCACTGGATGGATTTGCATGTATGTGCAAAATGGGATTTGTCAAGTGATTCCTGGAATCAGCAACAACTGTTGTTAAACAAGAACAAGATTTGGATCTGAAGAGAGGCACGTCTGTGGGCTCAGCCAGCGGTGGAAAAAGCTGGCTGCTAAATATGCTTCTCCTTCTGCTTTCCCTGTCTCTGCTTCTTCCTGCGGATCTGCCTCTGCAGCTGGATCTTGTTGGTGAAGAACACCTGTCTCCAGCCCAAGTCCTTCGCCAGGGCCCGCATGTCGGGGGTGATGGTGTCACAGGCCGACTGAACTATCTGCTCCCACAGTGAGTCACACTTGCACAGCTGCAGGTGGAAAGAGGCAGAGGTGGGTTAAGGCGCTCACACCATCCACTAGCTCACACTGTCGCAATGCCTGCTGCATGAGAGGTACCATGTGACTTTGGGGGGCATGAAACTTGGGCCTCTAGAAACTGTTCCCTCCTGTCAGAGAAGAGGCAAATCATGGGTATCTGCAGACAGCCAGAGGGGGTGGCAGAACAAGTCCTGCACTCAGTCAAGATTCAAAACCCCGGGGTCAGAGAGATGGCTCAGCAGTTAAGAGCACTGGCCGCTCTATGAGGTCCTGGGTTCAATCCCCACGTGGCAGCTCACGACTGTCTGTTACCCCAGTAACACCCTCACAGGGACATATATTCAGGCAAAATACTGGTGCACATAAAATTAAAAAAAAAAAAAAGATGTGAAACCCAGGGCTTAGTTAGAGTGCTGGTCTGGTGTGCAGGAGGCTGTGGGCTCAGGCCCCAACCCTGCACTAACTAGACATGCAGGTGCTCAGCAGATGACTGCGGGAGAATCAGAAGTTTGTTAGCCTCTGGGAGCTGGTTGGGTGGATGGAGTGGAGCGTTGACTACTCTCCTTCCCAACCCGGAGTCAGGCTCAGTCTCTGAGGTAGCTTAGCTGTACTGGCAACGTTGTGTCCTGGTATGGTATGGATGAGCCCATTCAGAAGTCCAGGGTTATCCTCAGCTACACAGAGAATCTGAGGCCAACCTGAGACTGGGTCTCTAGATAGCTGTTTGTGACTATGTTGTTTGTTTTTAAGCAGGATCTCACTATGTAACCCTAGCTAGCCAAGAATTTAGACCAGGCTGGAGTCAAACTCATAGGGATCTTTTTTTTTTTTTTTTTTTTTTTTTTTTTTTTTTTAAATAAAGACAGAACCTTGCTATGTGCCCCTGGTCTCCACCTTTCAACAATCCTCCTTGGCCCTCCAGAGTACAGGTAAGAGTCACCCCCGCAGCCTCGAACCATTTTATGCTTTGAGGCCATTTGTTACCTTGCCCCATGTTTAACATCCCTCTTCTTGGGTTACACAGTCTAACTATGAATAGCAAAAAAAAAAGTCTTAGGGAATACCTTTTAGGAAAAAAAAAAAAATTAGCCAGGCCGTGGTGGCATATGCCTTTAGTCCCAGCACTCTGGAGTCAGAGGCAGGTGGATCTCTGTGAGTTCGAGACCAGCCTGGTCTACAGCAGCTAGAGAAGAAAAAAATTAAATTGGTGGTAATGGCCCATGCTTTTATCCTAGCATTCAAGAGGCAGAGGCAGGGGGATCTCTATGAATTTGAGGGAGGCCTGGTCTAGAATTCCAGGAAAGCCAGAACTACACAGAGAAACCCTGTCTCAAAAAACAAAAAACAAAACAAAAAAGGCCCAAGGCCTGAGTTTGATCCCTGGAATCCATGATAGAAAGTGAGAACTGACTCTGGTATGATGTGCTCTGACCTTTACACCCATGCTGTAGGACACATACACACACATGCAATTTAAAACATTTTAAGAATTCTTTGTTTTGTTTTGGGGTATTTTTTTGTGACAGGGTCTCATGATACTGCCCTGTCTATCCTGGAACTCACTCTGTAGACCAGGCTGGACTCAAACTCAGAGACGCCACACTCAGCTGTTGTGTTTTGTGTCTGAGGAAGGTCTTACGTGCAAACAAACATGCTTAGTTATTTCTAAGTCACAGAAAAACATGGTCACAGTTACATCCCAGCCATTACAGGCCTCCTCCTGGGTGTCTGAACCTCTCCTCTCTAACTGAACTGAAGGTTTCTCTGTCAATTCTGGTGCAGCTGGAAGGTAAAGAATAGCAGGGAAGCTTGCCCTGACTTTAAGGCCAGCCAGCAGGCTCCCAGGCAGATGAACTTCCTTCAGTTCAGGGCTAGCCCTCCATCAAACAAGTGTACAATTTGGCCTTTCTGGCATCAGAGATACCTGCAGGGTGCTCTCAAGTCAGCCAAGCTCCAAGGGTTTACACTGAAAAATACAGTCATTGAGCCCACTAGAGCCTCAATTACAAATCACTATTTCAAAAATATAAACAAATCAATATAGCCCCTGCTTTCAGAATTATTTTCAGGCTGGAGAGATGGCTCAGAGGTTAAGTGCACTGGCTGCTTCTCCAGAGGCCTAGAGTTTAATTCCCAGGAACCACAGGGTGGCTCACAAGCATCTATAATGAGATCTGGTGCCCTTTTCCAGTGTGTGTGCATACACACAGGCAGAATACTGTATACATAATAAATAAATGTTTGAAAATATTTTTAAAAAAGAATTATTTTCATTTTGTCTCTGTGTGTATGGGTTCCTCAAAGGTCGGAAGGGGGTATTGGATCTCCTGAAGCTCTTGCCAGGCCGTGGTAGCACTTGGGAGGCAGAGACAGGCAGGTCTCTGTGTGTTCCAGGGCAGCCTGGTCTACAGTGCAATGCCAGGACAGGCTCCAAAGCTACAGAGAAACCCTGTCTTGAAAGAATCAGGAGCTGGAGTTACAGGTAGTTGTGATAGCCACCTGACATGGAAGCTGGAGGCCTCTAGAAAAGCAGCAAGCCATCTTAGCCACTGAGCTATCTCACCAACCCCAGGACCCTTCTTTACTGAGGCATCCAAACACCATATTCTTGGAGATAACCTAGGCTAGGCACTCCATCAGGATAGACATACAAACTTAAGTGACAGAAGTCTTCGGTTTGATAGGAATAAAAGTCAAGAAAGGCAGGACATGCTAGGACAAATGCCACATGGGGGTCTTAATGTGTAGCTCTAACTAGCTTAGAGCTCACTATGTAGACTAGGCTTGCCTCAAGCTCAAAACTATCCTTTTGCCTCAGCCTCTCAAAGGCTGAAATGGCAGGTGTGAGCCATCATGTCTGGCATCTACGCGTATGTTTTGTACATATAAAACCCTGGGTTCAAGCCCTAGTGAATATACATACACATGTACAAGTCTTGTGTGTGTGTGTGTGTGTGTGTGTGTGTGTGTGTGTGTGTGTGTGTGTGAATGTGGAGGGGGGGTACTTAAAAATCTGAGTTCAGAGGATGAAGGCATTTTCTGCCAGACCTGACAACTTGAGTTTGATGCCTCAGAACCCACAAAACAAAAGAGAATCAATTCTCATAGGTTTTCCACTGACCTTTACACTAATGTTGTGACACACAAGTGTATGTGAACACCCATATACAAATAAATAAATTAATTAAAATTTAAAAATCTGGGGTGAGCATGATGGTACACATCTTTAATCCTTGGGAGAAAGATGCAGGCAGATTTCTGTGAGTTTGAGGTTAGCCTGGTTTACATAGCATGTACCAAGCCAAACAAAGCTCCATAGTGAGTAGTGAGACCCTGTCTCAAAAAAAAAAAAAAGAAAAAAAGAAAAGAAAAGGAAAGAAAGAAAGAAAAGAAAAGAAAAAGTCGAGGCTGTGGCTCAGATGTCAGAGCACTTGCCTGAGATGCATTAGGCCCTGGACTCAATCCATATCACTTCCTAAACTGGGTATGGTGGCATTTACCTGTAATCCCAGGACTTTTGAGGATCAGAAATTCAAGGTCATAGTGAGTTTTAAAAAGGGCTCAGAAGATGGTAAAGTAGGTAAAGGCAATTGTCCATCACCACGCAAATTTAGCAGTCTAAGTTCAATCCCCAGAACCCACATAAAGATGCAAGATGAGAGAGAGCTAACTTCACAGTGCTGTCCTCTGTCTCCATAGGCACCATGCCCCTTGCGCGAGCACACCAGCTAAGGACTTAGACTTAGAGCACTGCGGACCGGATGTTACTCAATGCAGGCCCAGGGCTGTGCTGCGCTAATGGCAGGATGGTGGAATGGGAGAAACAGAGTGTGCCTGAGAACTAGAAGGGAAGCAGATGCACACTGGGTATGAGGGTGTGAGGACTCAGTTCCTGCTGAGTCCCTGCACTGACTGCAGCAAAGGAATCCAGGCCCGGGGAGGCACTTTCACTAGGTCCCTACCCCCTTAGCATCTTCTTTAAAGAATAAACACTTGGGTTGGGAGTGATGGCACAAACATTTAATCCTAGCACTTGGGAAACAGAGGCAGGGGGATATCTATGAGTTCCAAGCCAGCCAAGGCTACCAATAAGACCTTATCTCAAAATAAATAAACAAATTAATTAATATTTAAAAAAAGGAAATATTTTAAAAGATGCACAATTACTCATAATACTTATTTCTGGTCCTCTACTTTTAGAAGATAAAAGTCAAGTCCAAAAATGTAAGCCAGATGTGATGACACACACCTATGAGCCCTAAAGCAGGAGTTACATAGTGAGTTCTGTAGCAACTTGTGATGGGATCAGGTCTCAGAAGTAAGAAAAATGCCGGTCGGTGGTGACGCTTGCCTTTTATCCCAGTGGCAGGTAGGCAGAAGGAGGCGGATCTCTGTAAGTTTGAGGCCAGCCTGATCTACAGAGTGAGTTCCAGGACAGCCAGAGATGTTACACAGAGAAACTCTATCTCGGAAAAAAAAAAAGAAAAGAAAGGAAGGAAGAAAAGAAAAGAAAGATGAATTGTGTATACTAATAACTTATATTACTGAAAATGAGTTGTAATCATTTTACTGTATAATTTTACTGTATAATTGTGGGGGGGATGTTGACTCTTTAGGAAGCAGTGAGATTTGATTCATTTGGGGAAACCGGTTCTTTTATATGGATGCTCCTCCACAACTTCACAGCTAAATACTGAGCTAGCCAAGGCTCCTCAGCTGCCAGCAGCACACTCCAGCTCTGGTTGACTGGAGCCAACATGGGGGTGCAGCGGCACATCCTAATGTGTTGGCCTGTGGGGCACAGCCACTTTACAACTGCAGAATGGTGGAGAGGAGGAAACCAGGGCCCTGTCCTAACAGGCTCAAAACGGTGTCATTGTCTCAGCACTTGGTGCTAAGGATTCAGAGTACCAAGGGGTGGAGTTGCTCTCATCAGCCTGGGACACAGGGCCCACCAACACTGCCTACCTTAGAAAAAAATGGAAATGGATCTGACTCAGGGGCTCCTTGAAGTACTCTCTTGTTTGTCTGTTTTGGGTTTTTGTTTTGTTTTGTTTTCGAGACAGGGTTTCTCTGTGTCATACTTGGCTCTCCTAGAACTCGCTCTGTAGGCCAGGCTGGCCTCAAACTCCTGAGATCTCTGCCTGCCTCTGACTCCCAAGCGCTGGGATTAAAGGCATGCACCACCACTGCCCAGCAAACACTTTTTTCAGATGATTTATTTTGATTTATGTGTACGTGTGTACGTCTCTGCGTGGAGGTATGTGCATGTGAGTTCAGGTGCCTGACGAGGTCAGGAAAGGTAAGCCTCCTGACGTGGGTGCTGGGAACAGAGCTCAGATCTACTGCAGGGCCTCACTATGTAGCCCTAGCTGGCCCAGAACTCACTTTGTAGACTAGGCAGCCTCCAACTCACGTAAATTCCCTTGTGCCTCCTGAGAACCGGGATTAAAGGTGTGTGCCACCAGCTGGCAGTGCATACTCTTAACCAGCAAGGCATTCTTGGCTCATCCTTGAAGTACTGTTAGTGCCACCACACTGCCTCTGCCTGTTTCTCAGCTTGGAAAGTCCTTTGACTTAAAACCTACTTTGCACTCAAAACTCTGAGTAATCCATTTCTAAGAAGCACAAGGCATAAGAAACCACTTGACACACAGTCCTTATACCTTGCCCACATGTTTCTTGTCAAACATATCACATCATACTGTAATCACCTGTATCCATTTAAGCAATCTGATATCTGATAGTAAATTCCTTGTGTGTAGGAATAATGCCATCTTAGTTACTTGTGTCTGTCACAGAGGCAGGACTCAACAAATGGCTGTGGAGATTAAACACAAGTAGAGTAGGCATGGTAGGTCACATCTATAATCCCAGAATTGGGGGGGGGGGGAGCTGAGGCAGGAGGATTGCCATGAGTTTAAAGCCAACCTGGGCTACAGAAACAGACACTGTTTCAACTGTCTCAAAGAAAAAATAAGCAGGCCATGGTGGCATGGCCTATAATCACAATGCTTGGGAGGTAGAAACTGGAAGATTCAAAGTTCAAGGTTAAACTGGGTGTGGTGCCATGAGCCTTACAAGCCCAGGACTTGCCAGGCAGAGGCAGGCAGATCCCTGAGGCCACCCTGGTCTACAGAGTAAGCTCCAGGGCTACATGGAGAAATCCTATCTTGAAAAACCAAACCAAACAAAAAAAAAAAAAAAAAAAAGGAAGGAAGGAAGGTAGCTAGGTTAGTTCAAGGCTAGCATACACTACACAAATACTTATCTCAGTAGATAGACAGACAGACAGACAGACAGCACACTCAGGATCTGGAGAGATGGCTCAGCAGTTAAGAGTACTGGCTGCTCTTGCAGAGGACCTGGGTTCTGTTCCCAGTCATAGCAGTTCACAGCTGCCAGAAGATCAGATGCCCTCTTCTGGCCTCCAAGGGCACTGCATGCACATAGTACATAATACACACACACACACACACACACACACACACACACACGCAGGCAAAACACCCATATACATTAAATAGACAGGTCAATAAATAAATACAATAACAAAAACCAAAATAAGTAAGGAAAAAGAGCAATATGGACCCCCGAGGTTATCTGGGGGGGGGGGGGGAGTGGTTCTTGCTGCAGTCAGCTCAGCAGCAGGGACTGTTACCTTTGCAAACCTGCTTGATGTCTGAGAGAGCCTGGCAATATCTTCGAGGTCCAGGTAGTGGATGATCTTCAGCAGCAGTTTGTCTGAGAGCCGCTCCAGGTAGTCAAATTTACCTTCGCACAGGTTGAAGACATAGTCTAATATTCTTGCACCAAATACTAAGGCGATTTGTACTGCAAGCCAAACCACAAACCAATGGTTACCTTGTTCAGTCACATGAAAACCATCAACAATACAAAAGAAGTTTTGGAAGCCAGGTGGTGGTAGCACACACCTCTAATTCAGCACTCAGGAGGCAGAGGCCAGCCTGGTCTACAGAGTTCCAGGACAGCCAGAGCTACACAGAGAAAACCAGTCTTTCCTACTCTTACCAAGCAGTTTGTGGCACTAAGGGAGTGGATATTTGGAGGAATTTGTTGTCCTGTTGATGGGGTTGGCTCTCTGTTGTGGCAAAATGGTAAGTCTGTCATGAATACAAGTATGTGAGAATAGACTAGAAAGATGGTTCAGAGGTTAAGAATGCTAGCTGGTCTTCCACACACTTGTAACAATATATTTAGAGAAGGAATGAAGGCTGGAGGAATAGTTCAGCAGTTAAGACAATTTGCTGGAGCTGGGTAGTGGTGGCAAATGCCTTTGATCTCAGCACTCAGGAGGCAGAAGCAGGCAGATCTCTGTGAATTTGAGGCCAGACTGGTCTACAGAGCTAGTTCCAGGACAGACTCCAAAGCCACAGAGAAACTCTGTCTTGAAAAACCAAAACAAAAAATAGACAATTTGCTGGTCTTTCAGGGAACCTGAGTTCAGTTCTCAGTACTGCTATCAGCTAGTTAAAGGGATCCAACTCACACCCCAAGGGACCCAAAGCCCCCTTCTGGCCTCCTCTGTCACCCCCACACATGGAGCCTTAGCTCACACAGACAGACAATGGAGCATACTCATAAATAAAATAATAAAGATATTTACCTCCTTGTAGTGGCACAAGCCTTTAAACCCAGTGGGAGGCAGAGGCGGGTGGATCTGTATGAGTCTCAGGCCAGCCTGGTCCACATAGCAAGTTCCAGATCAGCCAAGGCTACATAGAAAGACCCTGTGTTCAAAAATAAATAAATAAAGTCTTAAATAAAGAATAATTTTAAAGGGGGAATGCAAGACTCTGGCTTTGGAATCCACAACCTCCCTAGTTATTCCGAGAGTGGAGAGTTAAGGGGGGAGGGGACCTCAGAGACAAAAGCCACCTGGTCAGAAGGATAAGCCTGGACCTTGAATTGATTTCTTGGTTCTTCTCTATAAAAATGCTAATGAGGAAAGGACTGAGGAGGCTGATTCCTCTGGGGCTCTCTAGCCTGAGGGCTTTCTGAATGAGGCACTTGAAAGATTCAGTTCCCGGGTTTGACTCTGTGATGGACAGCAAGGTCTTGTACCCTTCCCTCCCGCCCAAATGATCTGAACCACAGTATGCTGAGTTCTTTTGACTCAGGCTGTTTTACTTTTTCTATTAAAATTCCTTCCTCTACATCTTCTTTCATCACCATCTTTACATAATTTAGCAAATATAAGGTGAAGATAAACAGCATTAACATATTTCACGGAAACCATGATAGTTTTGCTTTGTATATTTATTTTCTTTTTTAAATGGCGGTTGGGGTTGAGACAGGACTTCTTTATGCAGCCTTGGCTGACGTGGAACTACCTAGGCAGATCAGGCCAGCCTGAATTCACTGAGATCTATTTGTTACTGCCTCTCTAGCGCTGGGATTAAAAGCACGAGCCACCATGCCCAGCTCTGCCAAGTATTTTTAGACATGTTAGTTACTCAAAAAGGAGACTGTAGCTCCCAAACAATAGACTAATGGGATGCCTGACATAAACATAAATTTGATGCAGAAGCAAAAAAAAAAAAAAAAAAAAAAAAAAAAGTTGGGCTAGTTGTGTTTGAGGGGGCACAGTAAAGAAACTGCCCCCATTAGGGGGAAGGTGGTTAAGAAAGAAAAGATCCAGAGGTCTCTGGAAGAGTCCAGAGCTGAGAGAAGAGCAGACTGGACACAGCCGGGGCTAGGAAAGCCAGAGAAAGCAATGGAGAGGGCTGGAGATGGTGTGAGAGATGGGGAAGCGCCGGAGGCAGAAAAGAGCAAGAGCAGTGGACAATTCATTTGGATTATAAAGAGTAGCTGGGGGAAAGAGGGCTTCAGACCCGACACTGGCAAGAGAGCAAAGCAGATGAGGCAATTGCTGAGTTCAGTCCCCGGGACCCACATAATGAAAAGAGGAGGCCAATTCCCACTAATTGTCCTCTGACCTCCAGACTTGTGCAGTTAATGTGATGTATGCTGCGCGCGCCGCGCGCACACACACACACACACACACACACACGCGCGCGTGCACACACGCACACACACAGAGTGTAATAAAAATTTTAAAACAGAAAACAAGATCCCTCTCACTCCTCAGCTCTCTGAATAATCAAAGAATGGAAATGTGTTTTGTTTTGTTTTCTATTTCTTTTGTGATGGGATCTCACTACAGAGCCCTGGCCTAGAACTCACTATGTAGATCAGACAGGCTAGCCTCAAACTCACAGAAATTTGCCTGCCTTGGTCTTCCAAGTGCTGGAATTAAAGGTGTGTGTCACCATGCTACCCTCTTCTACTCCAATAACACACTCCTTCACTTGCACATACTAAAGGCACTCAGCCCTCTCCAAACAATGCACCTGGCATCCTCAGGCCCTGCCTACATCTGGCTGCATGTCCTCCTCTCCAAACAATGAATAGTCTTCTTTGTCAATCAGCATACTTGGACAGTCTGTGCTTCACAGTATGTCCAATACACTCTGGTCCCAGGATAGAGAGATCAATCCAGCAAGAGCTGGTTCTGGGTGCCTGACCCATAAGGCAAAATTGTGTCCTTAGTTCAGACAATCTACTATTTACCATCTTATGTCTATGTAAAATTAAAATTATAAAATGAATATATTTCAAGTCAGAGGCATTATGGGAAGGAACTTCCAGGATTTACAGCTTTTCTGCCCTGTAATTTTTCTCTCAAACCCTAATAAAATGGTCCTTGAGTTTCCTTCAGAGTCCAGTTTAAAAAAAAATTTTTATCACCGAGACTAAGTCCACCAAGGGGAACCCAGATTCTCCAGTTATACAAGTCTTGCACAGTTCTTCTCAGGATGCAGGGACAGAGCCACTGAGGTCCCCTTCAGGAACACCTCTTAGTGCAAAACCACAACTCCAACCTCAAAGGTCAGAGTTTCTTCTGGAGCAAACAGGAGTGAACAGGTTGAGAGAAGACAGATTAGGGTCACTCCAAATTTTGTGTTCTAACATAACATTTTCATTAAGCTTTTAGAGTAACAGGACATAGGGAGTCATAGATCAAGGTGTTTTTTGTTTTTGTTTGTTTGTTTTTGTTTTTGTTTTTTTCCAGAGTTTCTCTATTTAGCTTTGGAGCCCGTCCTGGAACTCACTCTGTGGGCCAGGCTGGCCTCTGCCCCCAGGGTGCTAGGATTAAAGGCATGTGCCACCACCGGCCATTAATCAAGATGTTCTTAAAATACACTGGTGGGAACATCAAGCAAGTGGGTGGCAGCAAGGTGGGGTGGTAGAGGGGTGAAGCAATTCTGCTACACACCTCAAAAGCTATCTGAGGACATTTCTAGTTGGTTGGTGGAAGCCAGTGGTCTCTTAAGTTGATATATTCCAAAAGACTGCAGTCAACCTTTTATTACCGTCAGGGGATCAGAAGGCCTATTCTGGACTTGAATAGGTGAAGCTTGAACTCGTACTTACACAAACCCATACACACACACACAAAATTAAAAATCAAACAATGAGTTCTAAAAACAAATAAAGCCAGGAATGACCTTGCACACCTTTAGTTCAAGCACTTAGGAGCCAGAGGCAGCTAGATCTCTGAGTTCAAGACCAACCTGATCTACACAGCAAGTTTCAGGACAGCAAGGCTAGAAAGAGATACCCTGCCAATACAAGAAAAAAGAAAGGAAAAGAATTTTCACTATTTCTGCAGTTTATCCGTCTGTCTCTTTTCTTTTTGATTTTTGTTTGTTTGTTTGTTTTGCTTTTTTGTTTTCTGTTTTTTTGAGACAGGGTTTCTCTGTGTAGCTTTGGAGCCTGTCCTGGAACTCACCCAGATGTGCCTGCCTCTGCCTCTTGAGTGGTAGGACTAAAGGTGTGCGCCACCAATGCCTGGCTTCTCTGTCTCTTTCTTTCTCTCCCTTCTCTCCCTTCCTTTTCCAATAAACTTCCTTCCCATGTAAAAAGAAAAAAGAAAAAAAGAATTTTGTTAAATAATTCATAGGATAATTTATTCACAGAGCTGTGTACCAGCTGTGTACCAAAAGACCCATCAACAAGCAGAGTTCCCGCCACAATAAAGGAGACAAGAAACAAACAGCTGAACAAATGCAGTGTCTCACTTGACAATGAGTTTGTGAAAGACATGGTGTTCCGGAGAAAGGCTGTCATTTTCTGTCTAGTGGTTCAAGGAAGCCCTAGCTAATGAGGCAGTGTCTGCACAGACTAAATGATGGACAAGCCAGTGGAGATATCACAGAAAAATATCTCTTTTGTGTTTGTTTATTTTTGAAACAGGTCTCTTGAGGTTGACATTGTGTGTCACGGTGTCATCTAAGGTCTTGAAAGATCTGGAAGATCTGCTTTTAAGAAAGCTCCTGGCTTGGGGGTTCAGGGGAGAGCATACCTTGAAGCCCAGCATTCAAGAGGCAGAGTCAGATGGGGCTCTGTGAGTTCGAGGCCAGCCTAGTCTACAGAGTGAGTTCCAGGACAGACAGGGCTGTTTCACAGAAAAACCCTGTCTGGAAAAAAAAAACAAGATTGGCAGCAGGCACCTTTGCCCAGTGAACCCACTATGGAAACTATATTTGACACACTAGTGGTCTAGCAGATATTCACGTAAACTGATCATGTTATTTAGAGAAGGTCAGAGGAGAGACACTAACTTAGGACTTACACTTACCTCCTGTGAGGAGCATTTACAATATTTGTTTCTTATTTTTATCTGTTTACTGTTATTATTCTCTCATATTTTATATCCTAACCACAGTTTCCCCTCCCTTCCTTTCCCCCAGTCTCCTCCCTCATATCCATGCCCTCTCAATCTCCCCTCAGAAAAGAGCAAGCGTCCCAGGGACATCAACCAAACCAAACAAGGCATAAAATGCTACAATAAAGCCAGTATATAGCATCCCGCCAAGACCAGATGAGTCAACCCAGAAAGAGGTAGGAGTGTGTGTGTGTGTGTGTGTGTACATGTGTGCCTGCCAAGGGAGCCAAAAGCAGGGACTGGATCACTTGTAATCACAGTTACAGGAAGTTGTGAACTATCTGACATAAGTGCTGGGAACTGAACTTGGGTCCTCTGCAAGGGCAGGATATGATCCTCATCACTGAGTTGTCTCTCCAGCCCTTTCGGATGGCACAGCAAGCTAGAGATTGAATCAGATCCCCCAAGGCATAATTATAAACAGACGGGAGGAAGGCACAGGTTTGAATTACCAGTTCCATCATAATGATTTGAAGACTAAGGAACCAATGAGGGAACAGAGCCAAGACTGTAGCATTAAGTCAAATGACAGAAAATGCCACTTCCTTGCTGAGAGGTCCAGGCAGCAAGAGTGACATGCTGGGATCCTCTGCCAGGACCTCTGCAGAAGAAAATCTTGTAGAGGACCTTCAGGAGAAGACCAAGAAGAGACAGAAAAATAAGTTCAGTTCAACGCCGCCTGCTTAACAATACAGCAAACAATAATTAAGGGCTGATTCTATAATCAAGAGAGTCTCAAGATGACTGAATAAAGTAGCCATGATTATCCCTAGCCCAGCACACAGAAACTGACTCACAAAGGGGATGAGCTGTCCTGTGGGTCACACCAGCTGGCTAGTGGCAGTACTGAGGCTCCAGCTGGCTGAATGACCTCTGAGACCTGCTATATGTAGCCATGAGCATCCTCTCTCTCTCTCCCGCTGAGGGAGAGTGTCCTTCTGCGTGGACCTCCAAGATGGGAGGGTCAAGATGAGCAACAGTGACAACTGAGCTGCCTGCAAGGTATACAGGGACACAGCCTTGTGAGTCATCAGCCACTCAGGGCTGGACTTTTCAGTGATCTGGCTGTCTCTGAGTCACCATATGCCCGTGACTAGCCTCAGTATATTCACTGTACTTGGGGGAAATCACATCTTTGGCCAGCTATTGTCATCCTGTCTGGGGCAAACAGACATTTGTTCACACCTCCCCAGAAAGTGACACAACACTACGATGCATGAGACCCTATCTCAAATTTTTTTTTTTCTAAAGAGATTTTGCTTGTTTGTTCGTTTGTTTGTTTTTCAAGACAGGGTTTCTCTGTGGCTTTGGAGCCTGTCCTAAAACTAGCTCTGTAGACCAGGCTGGCCTCTAACTCAACAGAGATCCAGTCTCTGCCACCGCCACCTGAGTGCTGGGACTAAAAGCATTCGACATCACCACTGAAGACTCTAAAGAGATTTTAAAAGATTTATTTTAGCTGGGCAGTGGTGGTTCATGCCTTTCATCCCAGCACTTGGGAGGCAGAAGCAGTAGGATCTCTGTGAGTTCAAGGCCAGCCAGGGCTACACAGAGAAACCCTGTCTAGAAAAAAAAACAAAGATTTATTTATTTTTAATTTGTGTGTGTATGTGCGGTTGCTCACAGCCACCAGAAGAGGTCACTAGCTTCCATGGAGCTAGAATTAAGGTAATTGCAAGCCCCTCCTCCCATGGGTGCTGGCAACTAAACTCAAGTCCTCTGCAAGAGCAGTACACACTCTTAACTACTAAACCATCTATTCAATCCTCAAAAGTAAAACTCAAATCCCACATACTATTCTTTCTTTTATCTTTTTTTTTTTTTTTTTTTTTTTTTTTTTTTTTTCTTCTCTCAAGACAGGGTTTCTCTGTGTAGCTCTGGCTGTCCTGGCTGTAGAGCAGGCTAGCCTCAAACTCACATAAATCTGCCTGTCTCTGCCTCCCTAGTGCTGGGATTAAAGGCATGTGCCACCAACGCCTGTCCTGGCCCATTATTTCTAAGAACATAATTACACAAGTATGAAGTCAGTGATCATCCTCTGCCACATGTGCTGGGATGTGACTGCCTCCCTCACCTTGAAGATGAGAGTTCTCTAGAAAATCTTCATGGGTTTCCTTTATCTCTCCAGGTTTTGCTGTCCGATACTCGCTTCTCAGAGAAATTTTCCACCATCTAAAGATGACCTGCAATTAAACAGGAGTTGGTAGCAGTTAAAAATGACTCTAACCCTGACAGCTATCTTAAGTTTAGGTCATTTGTTTATTTATTTGAGGCAGGGTCTCATGAAGCCCAGGTCAACCTAGAACTCACTAAGTAGCTAAGACTGGCCTTGAATGCTTAATTCTCTGTCTCTGTCTACCACGTGCTGGCAGGCATAGTCTACCATGCCTACACTGTGAAGTAATATCTGGGCATCAGTGAACATTTCCGTTAGAGATTAGTGTTACAGTATCATAGTGTTGGAAGAGGTTTTAAGCTCTATCAGGTAGGACCAGATGGTGGTGGTATAAGCCTTTAATACCAGCACTCAGGAGGCACAGGCATGTGAATCTCTGTGAGTTCAAGGCCAGCGTGGTCTATAGAGGGACTTCCACAGCCAGAGCTACACACAGAGAAACCCTGTCTTGAAAAACCAAAAACATAAAATTAAAAAAATATATATCTTCATTTCTAGGTTTGTGCTTTACAAAAGCCTACATGGTGTCACTTTAGTCTTGCTGGATGATGACTGACAGTTCTGTAAGTAGAGGATGCACTCTATAGTACCAAGATATTTAAAATGCTACAAACTATGTACCACACTATCTTTCAAAGATTCCTTCTAATTTCATTTTTATTATTTTAATTTTATGTGTAGGAGTCTTTGCCTTCGTGTATGCCAGCACATCACTTGCATGCTCCAGCCTGAGGGGGCCAGAACAAGGAATTCACGTCCCTGGAAGTGGAGTTACAGAAGGTCACCAGGCAGGTGCTCAGAACTGAACTATAACTGTAAACCCAGCCCTCAAAAAGTAGACACAGGAGGACAAAATCATCTTCAGCTTTGTAGAGTTCAAAGCCAGCCAGGCATTGTGGGAAGAAATAAATCCCATCTGTACAGTGCTTTAAGACAACAAAATACTGACTGGCGATGGTGCATGTCTTTGATCCCAGCACCTGGGAGGCAGAGACAAGCAGATTTCTGTAGTTCAAGGCTAGCCTGGTAGACATAGAGAATTCCATGCCAGCCAGGATCCTGTCTTGAAAAAAAAAAAAAAAGGGAAAAAATAAAAACAGTATAAAATGCCAAAAAGAAAATGGTGTAGGTGTAGGGTCTGTAAAAATTCTCTTATTTGAAACAGGGTCTTGTATTGCTTTGAGTGAGATGATCTTGAACTGCTGATCCTCATCTCCATTTCCCAGATGCTGGTATTACAGGTCTGTACTGTATTGCTCCACTAATTCCCAGTTTTGTTTTGCTTTTTTGTTTCTCCCCCAAATCAAGCCACACTGGCCGTAGCTGGCCTGGAAGATGCTATGTAGACCAGACTGTCCTAAAATTCACAGAAATCACCTGCCTTTGTTTTCCTAGTGCTGGGATTGAAAGTGTGTATTGTCATCCCGGCTTTTTTTTTTTTTTTTTATTTAGGGTTTTATTTTTGTTTGTTTGTATATTTGTTTTTGACACAAGATCTCATATGTACCTGCACTGCAGATGACCTGGATTCCTGATTGTCTAACTCCTGATTTTCTTACCCTGCCTCCCTAGTGCTGGTCTGACAGGTGTGCACAATAAATGCCAGGTGGTTTTTCTGTTTGTTTTTGAGATTTTTGTCTTGCTTTGAAGCCCTGACTGGCCTGGAATTCATGATGTAGACTAATTTGGCCTCAAATGCCTTGGCTCCCAGAGTGCTGGAATTAAATGTGCCTGCCACTGTGCCTAGCTAATTTTATTTGTGTGTTTGAGATAAGGGGTCCATATGTAACCCAGGCCATCCCTGAACACAGTATGTAGTACAGGCTGACCTGAGAGCAATTCTCCTGCCTCAGCTTCCTGAATGTCAAGATGACAAGAATGCACCACTACTAAACTTGATCCAATCTTACTAATGAACTTAAAAGTCTGTCCTGAACAAACTGAGAAATGTTTCACCAGATTTGAAATCCATATTTACTTTAAAAAAAAATTCACTCCCCAAATTAATAAAAATGTAGTATATAGTGTCAATAAATATTTGTCTATTTTTTAAAAAATAGGCCAAATTCTTGTCCTTGTGAATTTATATGGTAAAATAAATGTTTGAAAGTACTGGGATAGCCAAAGAGTTCGGGAATTGGCAGACAAGGAAAGGTCTCCAATAGGAAAATGGTTCAAGTTTTCAAATGCTGTTGGAATAGTGGTGGGTTATCCCTGTACTCAGAGGCTGGGGTAGGAGGAATTCCTGTTTGGGCTACAGAGTTAAATACTGCCTTTAACCTACACCTAACAAAATAAAACACACACACACACACACACACACACACACACAAACCACAAACACCTCCAGTACTCAAGTTGTTTAAACGTGCTTAGTTAAACATTACCCAGAGGGGCTGAGAAAGATCAGTTTAGGAATGCTTGTTACTTACTCTTCCAGAGGCCCTGAATTTGGTTCCTAGAATCCACAACAGAGGTTAACCATTGCCAGCAACTCTAGGAGATCCAGGGTCTGCCAGGAGACCCTATGCCCTCTTTTGAACATATATGACATACATTCACACAAAACACATGCACTCTCTAAAAACAAGTCTTTTGCCTTTTGTTTTGACACAGAGTTTCTCTGTGTAGCCTTTGCTATCCTGGAACTTGCTTTGTAGACCAGGCTGGCCTCAAACATTTGGTTTTTCAAGATAGCATTTCTCTGTAGCTTTGGAACTAGCTTGTATAGACCAGACTGGCCTCACACTCAAAGAGATCGGCCTTACGAGTGCTGGGATTAAAGAAAGGCCTGGGCCACCCCGCCCCGATACCTGGCTTAAATATTAAATTTCAAAAATTAGCTGGGAGCTGGGCGGTGGTGGTACATGCCTTTAGTCCCAGCACCAGGGAGACAGAGGCAGGCAGATCTCTGAGTGTGAGGCCAGTCTGATCTACAGAGTGAGTTCCAGGACAGGCTCCAAAACCTGTCTCCAAAATAAACAAACAAACAAAAAATTAGCTGGGAGGTAGGTGGTGGCCTATGCCTTTAAGCCTAGCACTCTCAGTGAGTTTGAGGCCAGCCTGGTCTACAAAGTGAGTTCCGGGACTGCTAAGGCTGTTTTACAAAGAAACCTTGTCTTGGAAAACAAAAACCAAACCAAGGGGGGGGAAAAAAGAAAAATTGAAGACTTCACTTCAGGTACTTTCATTTTCATATGGAAGTCAGTAAAAGCTCTTGGCCATAACTCAAGTGGCATAGAGAGTTAATAATATTCCCTGTCCTTTGGAGGGAGTTGCTGGTTGGGCTGGAAATGGTTCATTAAGTAAAGCTGTTCTTTGACCACACATACACACCATGTGACATGTTCCTCCCCTTCCTGGAGGCAGTGGTAAAACTCTTAGCAGAAGTTTTGGGGATTTTAAAAAAGTTTTTAAATTTATATTTACGTAATCAGATCTGTTCAGGGGAATGCACATTCACTTGCTGGTTCCCATGGAAGCCAGAAGAGGGTGTTGGATCTCCCTTGCTAGAATTATATACAGATTGTTGACAGGGGACTGAAATGGGTATTGAAAACTCAACTCCAGTACTCTGATGACAAGTATTCTTAACTGATGAGCCATCTCTCCAGTCATCCATTCCAACACCTACACATAGAAAGACTTTTTTTTTTTTTTTTTTTTTTTTTGAGACAGGGTTTCACTGTGTAGCCCTGGCTATCCTGGAACTTGCTCAATAGACCAGGCTGGCCTTGAACTCAGAGGTCTCCTTACCTTTGCCCTGAATGCTGGGATTAAAGGTGTGACCCACCATGACTATCTTGAGAAACTGGAAATTGTCTGAAATCTCTTGGTAGAAGAGTTGGCTGAGGCCTTGGCAACAGCAAGAGAAAAAAAAAAACATGTCAAGGGGAAAAAATGATTTGTCAGGATACCTTGAAGGAGATATTGGAGCTGACATAGTTGTACACACCTCTGCCTTCTACTTAAAGCTAAATCTCATGTTAGGACCCTGAAGACAAACTTGGGGGAGAGGCCACTGTGTCTGTTTGTTCTTTTCCACTTATTTGCTTTTCACTAGGACTGGTTAATGTCCAGCTTTGGCTCTGACCCCGATTGCAGGAACAAGGCAAAGTCCACTGGGCTCTTCAACCATGGGCCTACCTAAGAGACTACTGACTGACTTAACTTCATTCTCAAAGTAGCTGAAAAGAAAATCACAGGACTTCCCCCAGGGCCCAGGAGAAACAGCTCCCATTCTCTCATCAGCATCTTGGCGCTCCCCAGCAATCTCCAAGTTTGATGGTCCAGAGACTAGGGAGGCTCCTAGTATCTTTTGGCCAATCTATTGTTTGTGGTAGATATTCTGAAGACCCTATCCTTTACTCCTAGTTTGGGTTTTAAATATTTAAAGTTCCTGGGCCTCTGTATGTCCAAACGGTGGGTAAAGAAATATATGCTTGAGAGACCAAAGCACATATTGGTGGGAAAAGAAGACAGGAAGCCGAAAGGGTAAATCCTTGAAGCAAACTGACATGCTACCTGGACCTGGCTACAATGGAGACTACTGAGGCGGGAGGACTGTGTTAGACCCCAAGAAATTCCTTTTCCCCACGTCTGGCATTTAGACAAAAGCCAGCATTCCCCCCACCCCCCAGGATTTAAGATAGTCCCTACTTGCTAAAAGGAGTCGTTCTCCTTATCTCTGGCAAAAGGGCCTATTTAACAAGTCAAAACTGAGGCTGGCAGCCAGTCTCTCTCAGTATCACCAAGACCTGTTCCTCAGCATTTCTTACCCCTGCCCCTATCCTGAACCTCTCCAGCCCCAGAGCTCCCCCCCACCAACCTCACACAATTTGGCTCTCAGGCCTCTTGGCCTCTGTCCTCCAGGCCCTGCTGGCTCCACCCCTGCTTCATCTGGGTCTGTGTTCCTCTTGGCTCCTGCTTCCTCTTACTCCCTCTCCCCTTCATATCTTCAATAAAGTTTCTCCACTTATGCCATGCATTTTTTTTTGTAATTATATC